TGCCGAAGACATGAGGAATTGGTGAATGTCGACAGCTGTGTGTCCTGGGCATGACATGGGTCCTAATGGTACTCAAATAGGATCCGTGTCGAAGTCAGTGAATGGCAACAAGGGCCGGAAATTCAATCACCACTTCAGCTTGAAAGACAGGATACGGAATAATCAGCAAGCAACCACTGAGAAGCACCCTAGGGCGGACGTTTGCAACCAAGAGACGAGGAAGGCGGCTGCCTGGGCCGTTTTCCAGCATCACACCGTAGGAGTTGTTACACTCAATCAAGCACCTGCAATTGCCATTCGACGGCCTTCACGTTTCAAAATTGAAGCACAGATGAGGCGTAAAATTTCGCATCGGTCTATGTCTGATACTGTGGCAGCAAGCTGGGACGCTGGTAGCACTCTTTTTGACTCTTTCGAGCTTGACTCCTTGCTGAAGACGCTGGACGATGCTGTGAATCCGGCAGCGGCATCGCAACAGGACACCGGGAGTGACGCAGCAGTTGAATCCGGTGCGATAGTGACCTACTCGCAGAACCAGTGGCTCTCTCGTTCGCAGCCTTCTTCTCAACGCCGTGGCAGCACCTTAACTCGGCAGCGAAGCTTGGTGAGTCTGAGAGACATTCAAGATATCGGTCGTCTGGACACAGTGGACGAAACGCGGCCTCTAGAAACATCACTTGATCTAGTGCCTGTACCGCATACGATAAGCTACAAACTTGCTGACAACGTCAATCTTGATGAATTGCTCAAGCCAGGCCGTGGGCATGATGATGCAGACGACGATCCATTTGCCGCTTTCTCTCACACTCCGAGCCCATTCAATGTACGGAGAAGCGCTCGTCGATCTTTTGATACTTCGGCCCAGAGCAAGTCTGGGAAGGGAGGCTCCTTTGAATACCAACGTCGCAGCAAGTGGAGAACTCTTTTTCGCACTCTGCACCTCGACGGAGCGAATGGTTTGTTTAATCGATTCCCAGGATTCCATTCCCAAGTTGCACCCCACGATTCGCTCAAGAAGTTGGAACGCAAAGGTGATTCAAGACGTGCGAAGTCCGAACTCATAGACACTAGCTATAGCCACGAACACCACCATAGTCACAGCGAGAAGCCTCTTGAAGTAGAACAGGCTGATCCTAAGAATCTGCGTGTCTCGACACATGTAAATCCACCTTCCTCTGAGAAGAATGGGCATCGTCGCAACAACAACAACAACAACAACGACTCTGGTTTCTGGAAATTTGGATTGAAAGCGGTCTTTTCTCGGACATTCTCTCGTCCAAGCCACATGTCTAGCGAGAAGGAGTCGGACACGGAGGAAATAGCCAAGGTTCATCAGCATCAGGGTCACAACAATGTCGATTTGCAGTTGGCGTGGACTTCCCTCAATGCCAGGCTTCATCAAGAGCACCATCTCCAGAAAGATCATAAGCCTGGTCTTCGCAAATACGGAAAGGGGAAGAATCGCAGGGGTGAGCTGCCTAATGGTACTGTGCTCGAGGCGGTGGCGCATCATGAGCACCATCATCACCACCATCACCACCACCACCATGTGCCAACTGGAGACGAGGACTACGAATTGCCCTTACCAGCGATAACCAGGCGAATCTCCAGGTCGTCTTTCGATGAGAAGGTTCGTAGATTCTCCACCGAGGATAGCTGCATACAATCTCCTCGCAACTCTTACGAGCAGAAAAGCACATCTGAGAATCAGCGGATTCGGACGCAATTGGCATCCTGGGAAGTATAGCAAAGCATGGGTTTGAGGCTCATTATGTACATTGAAACGCTAGAATAGACAAGTCTGCCGCAAGGCGTAAGACGAATACAGACTGTATGATATTAAACGGTTGCAATTTTTAAAAAGAGATTGTTTTTCCCTGGATTTTTGCGGCAGTTTGAGATTCTCACAAGCGACACTGACCTCGTGAAAGCCCGAGGGGCGTCAAGATTGGTGTGTAAGATATAACAACTACGATCTCCTGGAGATGGTCAATAGAACCATAGCATGAACAAGGGATCCTAGCAAGGCTTTTTCTTTCTTTCTTTTTTTGTTGTCAGGGGATTCGCGGGCTTCCGTTCTAGAATGTAGGCAGAATCGTTTTGGAGTTGAAGGGGGCAGAAACCCGGCAAGGTTCGAGAAGGTAATGACAGCACCATTACACTCACGTTCCTCACAATGACGATGACTTTGCAACTTCAAGAGATTATCCAGTTTACCCCGTGGGGAGTGAGTTTGTGCTTTGTTTCTGTGCAATCAAGTAAAAGATTTTTGGAGAGGCACCCAATCTTTAAGGGTCTGCAAGAAAACTTCGACTCATTACCCAAGTAGTATGCCTAGGGTTTCATGAATGCGATTGGAATGAATGCATGCACGCATGAGAAACACGACCGAAACGGATGCGGAGTCCATGTTTCTTATACTGCCAAGCATGACATTCATAGCGGAATTCAATTAAACAAACTTCTGGGTTGTCACAGAAGCCCACCAACATACTCCACTGGATAATCGACAGAGCTTGTTTCCGTGTGGGTTGTGCATCGTGGAACACATTTCTCAGGAACAAAAAAAAACAAGAACAGAAAAAACTTCAACAATTTTAACACCCACCATCGTTTCAAATCACCCCACGCGGCATCATTTTCTCCGTATGGACAGGCCACTTGGGTTGTGATTGGGAGCTGTGTGACCTCTTTTTAATGATGATGGTTAGAATATTCGTGGGCAATTACTGAAACTTCGATGGATTTATCATAGTGGTGAAGAGGCAACCATTGACCAGTTTTATTTTCTTTCATTATTTTGAAAGTAATTTCATTTTGTTGTATCTTGCATAGTACATTTTTATTGTCAATTGTTTAGGATTTTCTCTCAAATTATTTTGTCAAGATTGTGTGAATAATATAATGTTATGATTATTTAGTTGATTATTTTATGCAAGTAATTAAATTTTTTAGTAATAGATTTTAATAATAAATTATTAAAATAAAGATTTGTAATCAATTAAAAAAGACTTGTTGTTTTGTAATTATCAAACTATTTCATATTCTCAGCATTTTTTTACATTCAAGAATATATAATCATCAAAATGATATGTTAAATTTAAAATGAATTATACTAAAAAATTTAAATGATTTAAAATGATTCTAAAAAAATTTAAATGATCTATACTAAGAAATGATATGTTAAATTTAAAATATTTAAGATTTGAAATTTAAAATATTATTTTTAATTCATATTAATTACAATAGATATATGATTTTTAAACGTATAAATAATATTTTAGTATTTTTCAAATTAATATTAATTATAATAAATATATAATTAATTTATTATAATTATCATAGACAAACATATTTATGCCAATAATTACTTAGATAGTATGAATAGGTAGAAGTAGATAAAAATAAATAATTTTGATAATATCTTATAGAAAAGCTTCCTAAAAGTTTTAAAGACACAATATCACCTTTATACATGTTTATAGGTGATTGGTAGATTGAACACTTGGCCAATAAGTTAGCCATGTGTCCTACGTGTTAGTAGCTTGTAGTATAAGCTAACCATGTGGTATACATATAAGAAACTTGCCTTGCAAGTTAAGACATGTGTTTTGCAAATTGAGCACATGTCAGAGATCTCATAGAATGTCGTTATAGAGCTCTTAGTTAGATAGTATATATAGGCATAAGAGTGAAGCCTTCTTCACTCTCGTAAACTCTTTTCTTACTTCTTCTCTAATTTCAGTTGTCTCTAGATTTCTAGCCTTTGGCAATAGTCATTCTAATTTATTTTCTTAAAATATACGTACTTTCTATTATCATTTTGTCATCTCTCTTTGATACTTATTTTAGTTGTTTATATATCCTCTTTGAGTTCTTGTCGTTGACAATAATTAATATTAATTTAACAAATTATATTAATTAAAATTTAAAAATTTAATATTAAGATAAAGAAACAAGTTTGTAGTGTATTTGTTATAATTATAATATTTTGAGAAATTTCTAAAAATGATTATTTTAGCCAAATAAAGTATCTAAAGACATCTACAAATCTAATTTTTATCTTAGGATTTTTTTGATACTTTGTTGAAGAAACATAATCTATTTAATATGTTTCTACTTCTATTTCATTTTATATTTTTTGAATTATACAAGTATTTATAACAATTTGAAACTAGGATTTTATTCTAGATTACAAAATATTTTTAAACTTATAATTAAAAAGAAAAAAAAATTCAAAGAAATCATAACCTTTAGGGGGAAAAAAAAAAAAAAAAAAAAAAAAAAAAAACTTTAATTACTTATATACATTTGATTAGTTGTTTTATATAATATTGTATTTAAAAAAATAAAAAAATGACATAAATCAACCAAAATGTGCAATTTTGAATTATTTTAGAGTTTCAAAAAAATCATTTTTATGCTTACTTATGAAAGGTCATAATAAAATATTATTTAATATAAATTAATAATAAAAAAGTCAAAAATCTTTATTTTTTCTATAAGTTTTGAAATAATAGAAACAAAAATATAATTAGTATTATTTTTTAAACTATATTATAAGTTCTAAAATTATTAAGTGAGCTACTCTATTTGTAATGCATATGAGATTCATTCTATAATAGTGACAATAACACAAAAATCTGAGCACATTTTTACACCCAGTGAAGAAGAAGAAGAAGAAGAAGAAGAAGCTGATCTGCACAAACAGAACTAATTCTCGTTTTTTCTAAGTGGAAGTGAATCATGTCGAAAGTCTCATTTTCACCAGGAAAAACCCGAAACCGAGTTGTTTTGCTATTTGCAGTGTCAATGGTGGAGTAGGGACCCCACTGCCCGGAGGAGATCGGTGGCAGTTCTACCGACGCAGTAGAGCAGCCCTCGTTTATTTCCATTGTGGGCAGAGCTGGTAAGAGCCATCTGGTGCAAATCACAAGCGTGAATAGAAACTGCTTTGATGAGGATTGTAATCACGTGAGGATTGGGTGAACTTTACCTCAGCTTCGCAAGGAAGCCAGATGAGAGATCTCAATAAACTGCCATATGTCAGTCTAGATGTAGTATTAAGAGATTTTTCTGTGCTTTGTTTTACTAAATCATGTTAATTTACGAAACAGGAACAGATGGGTTTGGTTAAGAGGAGTAAGTATGACAAGTGGCGAGGTGCCGGCAGTCTCGAGCTTCAACCGTTTCTAGTTCCTTTCTCTCATAGCTCACGTTCCACCTGATTGATTGATAAAAGCGGTTAACGATGCGTGCTGGTCTTGTTGGGCGAACTGCGATTCTGGAGGTTGGAGTGATTATAACACCACTTGGAAGTCTGCTCTCGTATGAGTCAATTTTCTTCTGCTCTTGACGTCTTGACGTTGCAGTGTCTACTGAATTGTGGTCGGCGCATCGACTGGGTTAGAAATAAGTATGACTTTTCTTTTTCTTTTTCTTTTTCTTTTTTTATTGGGTTGCATTTACTTGATATCTCTGTCGTCGGGATTAATTCATCGTGGTGGCTGTATACCCGGATTAATGGGCAATGCATGGATAGCTTTTGCAACACAATACATGTCGTTGTGATATGTGTAATACTTTCCATTTTGTCTTCCGTCCAATTCTTACAGGCGACCGCTTTCAAAAACTCTTGTTCCGTTCATCATGCGAGAATCTGGAGGGAAATAGTTCTGAATGATAGTTCGGGCAAAACGCAGTGCCTTCTGTTTATGTTTCTTGCTTAGTTACACCCTTTTGTTTAACACTTCTGTGCAGGTATCTCTGCGAACACAAGTGACGAGAATCAGTCATGGCGGCGGAAGTGGCTAACCCCGAGGACGTAAACCTGCACCGCTCGATTGCAGAGGAGCCAACAAAATCAGATGAGTCAGCGGATTCTCCGACAGCAAAACTCCAGTCACCATCCCCGGAGTCAGAAGTGCATGACGAAAACAACGGTAACGCCACTGCATCCCAAGGAATTGAAACCCCAAATGACGAAGAATTCAACGAAACGGAATCACTGGTATCAGACCCAAACATCACACCACGTCGCCATGAGAAAGCGAGGGCCTTTCGTGAGGCTCGTCAAGAGAGGGTGGAAGCGGAAACCGATGCTTTCCTCCAATCCAAAATACGCAAGCTAAATGCGCGAGCACATACAGCTCAGGTTACTGTCGCTCCTTCACTTTCCTTTCCAAGTCTTAATTGATGTTATGAAAGAGAGCTGGCGAATTGTAGAGTCTCATCCTGCTAATTTTTCGCAATTCGTAGACAGCGGTGGTTTAGACATCTGAGATGCTGGTTAATATTATTGTTATTTCTGAAGGTGGTTTTGTGCGTTGTGGAACAACGCAGGAACTGGCAGAGAAAAAAAGAATGCACGAAGAAGCCAAAGCTTTGGAACTGAAGAAGCGCGAAGAGCTTCGTGCCGACCAGATTCAGAGAAATGGAGAGGTTTGATTGACACAGCACATTTCTTAACACACATCGAGTGGGTTGTTGTTTTTGTTGCTAGATATGGTGAAACATTTCAGGTAAATACGAGAGTTTTGAGGAGTTGCTGTCCAGATCATGGAATCTCATGCTTCTGTTTTTTTCTTCTCTTTTTTGTTTTCCTTTCCTTCTGCAGGTGAAGGCGGATAATTTAGTGGAACATGCCAATCTGGAGGCTGCAAAATTAAAAGCCCATGCCCATGAGCAGGCGGAAAGAGCTCTTGCTGATTCTACTGCTACTGCAGAGATGGTATTTATATATATATATATATATATATATATATGTGTGTGTGTGTGTGTGTTAATTTATATTTATATCTCTTGATGATGAGCTCCACTGTTGGCCAATTTAACACAGTTTGTTGAAACTCATTTCTTTTTTTCTTTTCTTTTCTAAATTAATTTTATTTTTGTTTTTATATCTTTGTCCATGTGGTTCTGAAGAATTGATGGTTTTTGTATGGCTATAGGTGAAGGCTGCTGAAGAACAAGCAAGGAGAAACGGCATTGCTGAGCTTGTGGATGAAGTGGAACAAATGAGGGCTGTTGGAGAGCTCCCAACTCACGAAAAGAAAGGCTACATTACACGTTTGAAAGAAAAGATAGTTAATCATTGAAGAGGCTAACAACCTTTAATTAAGGAACCAAGAGTTATTAGCATAAATAGTGGCAAAAAGGTCAAACAAATTTGAGTAGTCATTTCTTTTTGGTTGAATTCAACAATTTGACTTCTTGTAAGTATTAAAAGTAATAAATTTGTGTTTAGATTAAAGTAAATGTTGTTTATATGCTAAATGGATTAAAATATATATATATATATATATATATATATATATATATTAGGAGATTTAAATATGAATTAGAAGATAGAATTTTTTTGAAGAAATAAAAATTAAATGCTATAGTTGAAGTACAAAATCTAATAGAAGATATAACTTGTTAGAAATAAAAAATAAATAAATAAAACATATTTATTAAGTATATTAATAGAATTTTTCATGGTATTGTAAGATTATTTCTAATCTTGCTCTAAGTTCATAATTAATTCATTGTGGAATAAACTCAAATTCTTTTTCATAATATAGTAAAACCAAATCTATTTTAATTGAAGAAATTAACTATTTAATTTGATTTAAATTTTTTATAGTAAAGTTATTAGTTTTTTTTATCAATGATTTATTTAGTGAAATTAGGTTTTGACATTGAAAATTAATATGTAAAAAGATAACTTCAAATTAAGATTTTTTTAAGCCAAAGAAATGTTTATAAGGCAAAAATTGATCTAGGATTTTATAAAGTTTTATGTTTGTAGTGTATATGAATACTATCAAAAACTATATATATATATATATATATATATATATATATATATACAAGTTTTTATACAACTTCTATTACAGCATTTTTTTTAAGAAGCTAGTTCTTGAATTACTAAATATACAAAAATAAAATAAGTACTTGATTTTAAGAAAATTTAGAATAATTTTTTTAAAATTAGCGTATTATAAGACAATACAATAATCAAATGTAAATAAGCCAATTAAAAATAATACTTATCTATAATAATAATAAAAAAATAGATCTAAAAATATTTAATAATTTTATATTAAAATAATTAGAACTCTAGAAAAAATATAAGTAAGAAAGTTTTACCAAGTTTATAAAGAAAAAATACATTAATATTTTTTATTACAAAATATTAAAAGAAAAATAAATTAGATTCAAGTATAAAATTTATTAGGAATAAAATTATTTATTTATTTAATTAAAAAATTATTTATAGTAATATAAATATTAAACATTAAATATAATCAGCATAAAACTTGAAGTGTTTTTTTTCTAATAAATAAAAAATAAATACTTAAAATAGATATTTATATTATTTAAGTAAAGAGGGATAAATAGAAATATATAGAAGTACGAAGAAACACAATGGAAAACTAATATGATTCTTAACAAACTTTGAAGACGTTTTTTTAGATGAAAATTAGATATTTAGAATTTTATCAATATGTTATGTGGCTATTAAAACTCGTCCTACAACTTTTTTTGTTTTTAGGAAGTTGCATTGGAAGCAACCTATAATTAAATGCTTAGGCTATAAACCTTGTGGTCCTTTGGAAGCTTCTATAAAAATTTGTTCTTTAAGGTAATATAAATGGAGGCAAGACTAAGACCATCCTTAACCTTATCAACACCTTTCTTGTGTTTTAATCTTAATTAAAGACTCTCTAATCTCTTTGCATTTGACAATAGTCATTTTATTTCTTTTTTATTTTATAATCATTTCTTCTTTCTTTGATTTTTCTTGACATTAGTGACTCATGAATATATTATCTTTTAGATTTGGTTGTGATTCTTGTTTTAAACAATTGAACAAGACTACTAACTTATTATAGTTTTTTTTTTGTCTAATAAATTAAAACTTAATCTCATTTCTTTAAAGATATTATTATATTATTAAAATTTTCATACTATGTATATTTTAAATTGACACATGTATTGTCTACTATTGATTTTTTCTTTAAAGAGAAGTTTTGCAATTGATTTATCAAGAAGTTTTACAAAAATTCTTCATACTATTTCTTTTTGTTGAAATTTTTAATTTATATTAGAAATTATAGATTATTCTTCTCTAATTTGACTTATATATTTTTTAATATTCTCTATTATTAAAATAGAAAAGAAAAAACTACAAATTCTATATTTAGTATAAGTGAAAAAATATTTGTATCTATTACAAATTTTTATAATTTTATAATATTTTAAAAGAAAATATTTCATTTATTAGCAATCTCAATCATTTAAATAGTATTTCTAGACCTACATCAAAGACATGAATTACAAAAATTCAAAGAGTCAATATACTCTTGTGTCACAGAGAATAGGTAATCACTTAGATATAGAATAATATTAAGACTAAATTAGCTATTACTAAAAACAAGAAGATAAGAAATTGTTGAAACAAGACTAAGAACAAGAAAAGCATTGATAAAAGTGAAGAAGGTCTCAATTATGCCTTTATATATACTATCTAACTAGGAGATACATAACAACATTATATAAGACCTCTGATACATGTCCAAATTGTAAAACATGTATCTAAATTTTAAAACAAATTTCTTAAATGTGCACTATATGGCCAACTTTTATCAAAAGTCACTAATATGTTTGAAACAAAGCCAACATATTGGCTTAGTTTTTAACTTATCAATTATTTATTGATATTGGCTTATATTTTATTAAATAATAATATCTCCATGGAATTTAGACTATAGTTCACTTGCTACATAGTGATAGAAATGCCAAAGTATATAATCATGTTTAGGATTTTTCATTTAAAAGGTTCAACTAAATATAGTCTTTAAAAGATTTGAAATCAAAGGTTAGTGCGTAAGACAAATTTTGTATTATAAGAATGAACTTCAAAAGAGCATATTATACTTTTAAGTGTGGCATCAATAAAGCTATGAGTTGGAGATTTTTTTAGTGAATTTAGTTTTAGAGGAAGTAAATATGTATGTTCATAACATTACTTCCTCTATTTGAGTCAAGTTTTATAATAAACAATGATTACATGTTGAAGAAGTCAAGAATGCAACAAATTGTATTTGCCACAGACTATCATCTTTGTTCTTTTTGAAAGTAGTTAATAGGTCCTCTCAGCCATCATTAGTATCCCATATCAAGATAATTACATTGATCAATAAAATCACATTGATCAACAAAATAATATATTACAATATTGTGACAATTGATACATCATTGTATTGTTATTTTTCTTATACTGACATCTAATTCTAATAGAACTTCAAAGCTCATATCCAATCTCAACAACATAAAATTTCTTTTTAATGGTATGGTTTGAAAAGTGTTGGTATATCAATACTTTCATACTTTGGTTGTTACAATCCCATTTATAGACATTAAGATCATGTCAAGATGTGTATGAATCTTTCTTGACTTGAATAAGAGCCACATAGAAAATAAAACCTTCTTTGACCTAAGTAAACAATCAAAGAATAAGACAAGAAATGCACAATAAATACTTAATACAATCTAATCTCCAACCAAGATGTCTTAAAATATAAAAATACAGCATTGATTGTATATAGATCACATTACTATAAATTGTCCATACAGTGTTGTTAAAAGTACTGACTACTCTAATACAATGTTTTAGTTCTAAAATAGAGATTTCTACATATTGGAATCTCAGTAATATCTCACAAGTCATAAGACCTTTCATAATGTGATGCTCGAATCTCCTATAAAGTTTGCATAGACAATATTATTATCAAATATATTTGACCTAATGGTCAAGTAGACTTAGCTTTTATTAGGTGCTATTTGAATAGGTTAAAAAAATCAATACCAAACTTTGAATAATCTACGTGTTTCCTTACATTAGTCTATGTTTGCAATAAGAAATGTATCTAAATGTTGTTACATCAGCTAATACTTAAATCAAGCATTGCATATAACTTAGGCAAATGATAGGCTTAACAATTGAAAGAAATCAATATAACAATTCTTTTATATTGTAAATAAGTTTGAGAGATGGATCAATTAGATGAAAAGATAGCGAGCTTAGCTATAAGATGAGTGATGATTTTGAATTGTTACTGTTGATTGCAGACAACTTTAGTTTGGTACTTAGTAAAAAAATCGCTCTCCTTAAATAAGTGCACAAATGGTAAAATTAAGCATTTATATTGAGATATTCAGTCTATCATTTTGAGATTAAAGACAATAATGCAAAATATAAGATAGACAATCGATTTTGAATAACTTAAGCATTGTAGCATATATTTAATAGGTATAAAATTAGAAAAAATATCTTTATGTAAGAAAATAGAAATCAAGTATGTAAAAAAATAGGATTCTAAGTATTTCACATAATTTGTTATATATATATATATATATATATATATATATATTTTAAAGACAATAATACAAAAATTTGTACCAAATTTATTAGGAGAAAATACATTTTTATTTTTAAAAAATAAATAAAATGACATGTTTGTTCATTACTTGTAAGGAAGAACAAATTATATAATATTATAGACAACTAATGTCTTTGATTAATAAATTAATACTAATATATATAGTAAAATTTCTATTAAAAAATAACTAAATAATAATATTGTTGTAAGATTCACATTCCTTTTTTCAAGTTACTTAAGAATAAACTTATACTAAGTTGTTGTATTTTTATCAAAAATCCAACTCAATAACCACAAGAAGCTAAATTACTACAATAATATCTTTTTTATATTATATCTTTGAGTATAGAACTATTATTACTTCAAGTCATTACAAGAAGCTTCTATTATATTTTGTTTAATTTTATAGAAATATACATAGTTACATAAAGAAATTAAATTAATTCCAATCTCAAGACATTATATAATTTTCATTTTTATTGACATCCTAAATATGAAAATTGTATTATAAAAAATAATTGAAGCTTTTGTATAAGAAGAATGTTTAAATAAAAAAATACAATGAAATTTTAACTTGTGTAAAGAAAATACAATTAACTATTTGTAAACTATCTTGAAGCAAGTTTACTAATTTGTACAACATAAAAAAAAATTAAATTAGACAAAAAATAACTCACATATAAGATTGCAACAATAACATTGTTTTTTTAGTTTTCTTTTTCTTTTTATCTTTCATTTGATTATTTTAAATTAAAAAATATGTTATAGAGTTGAATAATTAAATTAAATTATGATACGATTATGTATATAAATATAATTATACAAATTTTATGTGATATGAATTTAAATAAAGAAAGTCTAATTGATCTATTTTAATCTTGGCTTTAAGATGATGTAAGAATTTTGTTTCTTACCATGTCAAGTATTAATGAGAATCAGTATAGTTTAGATAAATATTTTTGTACAAGATAATCATGTGATAATTTATTATTTAAAAAATAGCAAAAAAAGAAATTTAGATGGAATGACTCACATCAAATTATTGTTTCAAATTCATTTAATACTACAAAATGTTGTAATAAAAAATGCTAAAATTTATTCAAAATAGCTCATATAAGAAGAAAAATTAGGAAACAGTATAAAAAATTTGTGTATATATATATATATATATATATATATGTATGTATATTCTTGAAAATCAAAATGATTTTTATGATGTTTTTTGATAAAAAATTTGTAACTCAAGATAGAATGTTATCTTCTAAAAATATAATTAAAAATGAAATATCTAATTACAATTAGAACCAAGTACTAATACACCACTAATTTATTATTCATTAAATATTTATATTTTTTAAATTTTCAATTTGTTTTCTAATTCTTATATCCATAAAAATAAAATTTAGAGGAATTTATATAGAAATAAATTTTAAATATTAGAGTATTTATTTTATTTTTTTTGATAAAAAAATTTTAGCAAAAAGAACTAAGCACTTGTAAAAATATATATTTGACATTTATTAAAGTTAGTGAACAACATCTACTAACAAAGAATATTCTTTTGGAGAATCTAACTTTTGATATTGGTTGTATTTAATAATATGTAAAACAATCTTGTAAATATTATATAATTACCTTCAAATCTTATAATTTTAGACTTCTTGAATTTAAGATATGTCATCAAGAATAGGTTGATCAAATTATGCATTGTTTTTAAATAAAATTATTTAAAAACAAATAAGAAAAAATAAATAAAACAAAACTATGTTGCAAATGCTTAGAGCTTGAATATTCAACAGTGACAAGAAGTTCTTTGTCATAAAGGATGTAGGTAACTAAAATTATATAAAAATGAACAAAATAAGATGAAGTCTGTGTGGATGAATGGATGAATGTCACTTGTTTGACAACATAACCTAAGGCATCAGATTAGCTTGCCAACTATGATACGGTTCACAATTGCAAAATAGAATAGATACTCAAATGGTAGACAAATCCTGCTTGAAATTTAGAACAATCCAAGACCTGCATCCCATTTGAGATGATTCTAAATATCAAATTTTCAACAGGTAAGACATGGAATGCGAAGTTGGGTTACATAGGTTGTGTGAGTGATTTCACACTTCGGCAGCAGAAATACTTGTTTTTTATGGCGATAACACAGAGACCTGTGACCAACAAGGACACCAACATTGCCATTGCCCTTGTTGAATCACGGAGATGACTCACAGACTTTCCATACTTTTTTTTTACCTCAAGTATGTACGCACTGTGAATTGCAAGACGTGATGGAGATGATGAACAAAAATTTCACAGCACACTGTCAATGACATTACACCGAAGGGGATTAGACTGGGAGTATCCAGATATGCTCAACTTGTTCCATCCCACAATTCTTTCCAATACGGTTTCAATGTTCTTTAATCCTTGAAAATAAATACTTGTCAGGTCTCTATCTCTATCTCTCTCTCACGAATACGTACCTATGTCTCCAACCTGGTTTACAGGAAATCAATGCTGCTCTGCTGGTTTGGTGCCCTCCCTTACATTGGGTGGAAATAAGGGCGTTCTTTACCACCACTGAGCCTTCTGAATCATTGCTTTGTGAATTTTGATCGTAGTTGACAATAAATCGTAACCAGGCATCGCAGCCAATGAGTGATGAAGATTGTAAGTTTGAGCATGTCTGTACACTCTTGATGTGTTGTTCATCTTCGGGCAATCGCTGTTGGAAAAGTCTAAAGACCTGCAGGTGCTCCATCTTTTCTCTCATCACTAACACCAATCAGTTTACCACGGGAGGAGTATCGTGGTCCTCTCAACCAGCCCATTTTGAACAAGGACATCCTTATGGGAGTCTTCAAGTCTTGAACAACGAGTTGACATACAGCGCCAGAAGTGTGAGCTTCCAGGATGTGGCCCTTGGATTCCAATCCCCGTCGAGTTATTTCCCCAAGCTCTACGTGCTTCCCCGTCACCAGAGTCCAGTTCTCATAGTGTATGACGTTCGGAACTAACTGTAATGTAAACAATCTAAATAATTTTTAGTACGAGATCTGTCAAAAATTCTGGGTTGATGGATTGTAATGTGATGTTGAATGTAAGCGACGAACCAGCAAGCCAGGGAGGAATCATGAACCTGATGGTGCACGCGTGTGGTTGCAACCGATGTTAGTGGATCCAGTTTCTTCACAAATTGGTTGATAAAAACCTGTGCCACAGTTGTTATGATTTTGTTGCCGCCGCTTCCGCCCAACACCCCATATAACCGTCCATCCTACACCATACCCAAGCATTTCATGATGTGTAGTACACATAATTTGATACAGTTGTATTGTAAAAGATTAGCCATTGGAATCTTTTGCTCAGGAATTTCCTTAGAGGCAGTCCTATGAGCGCTGCCGAGGAAGACTGATGAGGTTAGAGCTTCACGGATTGTGTACCTTGAGGACAATGGTCGGAGTCATGGACGACAGAGGACGCTTGCCCGGTCTCACAAAGTTCTGCGGGGGAGGAGGCAGATACCCGGGGGGTTGAGAAGTTGGGATTGCGAAATCGTCCATTTCATTGTTGAGTATTACTCCAGTTGACGGAGACAACATAAGAGCACCAAAAGGGTAGTTGATAGTGGTGGTCATGGCGACAGCATTGCGATGCGGATCTACTATGCTGAAGTGGCTCGTTCCGTGATCTTCAAGTTGACGCCATCTTCAGCCACACGATAATGTTTTGTCAATTTGAAGCATAAACTTCTTAAAAGAACAGCTGGTTCAATATTGGCCTAGTAACCAAAACATTATTGCCGCCTTCAGCATGACTGATTCCTGGGAGACTTGATGCAAAGAAGTCGTCACTAACAAATCTGAGAGCTGTACCTGTTTCCGTAGTATTCCGGCGGGAAAGTGGTATTATCAACAATTCGACTCTGAAGTTTTCCAGCGAAACTTGGGTTCAGCATATCTGCCACTACCGAGTTCACATCGACGAAATCCGGGTCGCCCAAGTTCATTCGCACTGCATACGTGTGCTTGAAAGTTTCAATGAGTCGGTGCAATCCCACCAGCCCTTTCAACGCTGCAGTATACCCGTATTTGGCTATGATGTTTAAGATCTGCGCAAGAGCAATAACAGAGTTCTCTCAGGATTGGAATTTAGATCCTTTTCATGAAGATTCTGTACAATGCATAATTGCAATAAACTTAGACTTCCGAGTGACTCCGTCATGCTGAAACGTCAAATCAGTGTACCACGATAGACACTTACGAGAACCAATGATGCTCCACCGGATGAAGGAGGCGGCATGCTTATCACAGTAAAGCCCATGGTATCAGCAACCACGGGTTTTCGAATTGCCACTTTATAATCCCGAAGGTCCTCCATGGTCAATATTGAACCAGCTGCTCGTACATCTTTAATGAAATTCTCCGCAACTGGACCAGAATAAAATGCCGCTGATCCATGCTTTGCGACTTCTTTCAATGTGTTGGCCAGGTTTTTACGGTAACAGATGTCTCCGGCAACTAGGGGTTTTCCGTTGAGGGTGAATGTTTCACGTAATCCTTGGTCAGCAAGGATACCATCTATGAACATATTAATGTAGTGTGCAAGGTAAGGCTGTACAACAAACCCTTTTTCTGCAAGAACAATAGCTGGAGCCACGAGTGCCGGCCATTGTAAAACGCCATGGCTGGACCAAACTAAGTGAAGACCAGCCAACTCACCCGGAACGCCTGCTGATAAACCTCCCTTAACCTTCAGGGAAGGATCTTCAGTATACATGTCCTGCATAAAATGGAGAATTATTGATTAAAATGTAAATGTCAACATCTTCTACGAATAGACGAAATGACATCAGATCATGGCAGTGGGTTTTTGTGGGTGAAGGCCGATCAATTTACCTCGCGGGCTGCTGCGGGCGCAGTTTCTCGCATGTCATAGGCCATCGCAGTTCCATTCCACAGTCGCAGCAGCAAGAATGCACCTCCACCAAGCCCACTTGCCACTGGATTGACGACTCCTAGGCACAGGGATGTCGCTACGGCGGCATCCACGGCGTTTCCACCAGCACGTAACGCATCGCGACCAATATGAGAGCACCTCTCGTCATCAGCTGCCACCATACCCTCATCTGCTTCGGTGATTCGCTTGCGATTCAACCATGGTTGTGCCAATCGGAAACCTGTTTTCCTTGAACACTGGTGAGTCGAGGTGGAGAAGCCACCGCAGGTCGTTGGCAAAGCAAGAAACACAACCGTGAGCGCTGCAACCATCACCAGATTCAAGAGTCAGCTGATGTGTAAATTGCTTCCCATTGTAAGACGATTTCCTATTGTGAGCAAGTAAACATGATTCTATAACTCATCTTGTAACAAGAAAAAGATCTTCCAATGGAATGTCCTAATTAGCGTGCACACACGCACAGAGAAGAATGGATTCCCACTCTGCAGGTTTCAGGAGAAAATTTTCTTCCCTCTCCTCGTTGGGAAATGAAATTTCAACAATAAATAATAATAATAATAATAATAATAATAAAATCATTACTTTAGTTAGAGTGAGCTTTGGATCTAAGTACCGAGCAAGATCAATGGCCTCGCGCAATCCAAAACCTGGATGTGCTGTCGACACCCACTAGGTAATATCTTGGTGCAATCGGTCGGAGCAGGATGTTCACCCATTGCACGAGCACCACCAGAAATCAAACGACCAATAAAACTATTTAGTCCTGCCAAGCTTTTTGCAACCATCATGCTTTCAGCCTGTCCGACGGGCTTTATTCGAAATCTTCAAGGAGAGTATCGACTATTACGACAGAATGTAATGCTTCGCCCTCATTTGAGCAAGAGGAAGAGCGGCGAGAGTCTACAAAAAAACGACGAAGAGTCGAAGCTCAAACGGACAAGACTGTTCACGATAACAATGCAATAGTCCGGAGATCCCTTCTACTCTTCTTTCCCTCACGACCACCGTAACGCCACTGATCAACCATCTGGCAGGGGAATCACGTGCATAGCACGATCTGGAAAATTGTGTCGTTACCATCCGGCTTTCCTTCCAATTATATTCCTTCATTAACGTACCCACGCTGAACCAATTTATTATCTCACATTATTGCGCTCACAAGCACTGACAATCTCTCTTACGTCACTTCAGACTTTCGGTCAATTCCGAATCACGCTTAAATTGACGTGCTCCTGGCTGCACACATTGTAAGACAGGCGAGCTCTCTCCATGTCTCAGCAACGACAGGGATGACAACCGAGGTTTTCCTTGAACACACAGAAACTCCTCACAAATAGCTTGTTTGGCACAGCATACGGAGCATGGGGAAGACTTGGTGCAGCCAAGCGTAACGGCTGCGAGTCAGCTCTACAACGACAACGCTGAGGCGACGACGGCAGCACCGAATTGTGTTGAACTTGTCACGCAGAGCTCCTCAACGCTCTGCAATTTTGGACCAAAGGCGGCCAAGGCGACCGACACGGCCCAGGCATGGATGGGCTTAATATTGAAAAGGCAGAGCGCACGTGCAATGGAGAACAAAATTCATGTGTGCATATATATATATAATATATATATATATATATATATATATATATATTTAAATGAATATAAAGAGAAAGTACAAAACTTCATGCTATTCATGATTGCCATGCTTCAAAATATACCCAAAATATACCCTCGTAAATGAACCTCAAAATATACCTAATTTTCTTGTGTCCTTGTGATTGTATACATGCAAAAAAAAAAAAAAAAAAAAAAAAAAAAAGAGAGAGAGAGAGAAAATATATATATATATATATATATATAAAGGCATTCATGTGAAGGGTCACTTAAGTGATGATGTTGTTGATCAAATTTTCACCATATGGTCTTCATTTTTTTTGTACTGTGTTGCATACAATTTTGGAAAACATGCTCAATTATATGCAAAATTCTATGCAACTGAAAGAGATTAGTTAAGTTATTCATTGAGATTTTATTGTAAATAACTAGTCAAACAAATTGAATGAAATGACAGTTAAATTTGCGCAAAAGGATGATATGAGTCCAATTGAAGTCCAATTGAATAGCAGCTTTCAGATGAGGAGCCCATTGCAAAGATTTTTGTGGTTTTTGTAAAGTGCCTCCATTGAAGTGTGCATTAATACTCCTACCAATAACAGTGTTTACTCTCTGACCAAGTCTGCAATCTACTGCAACATCAGTCTACAGAACAGCTGTGACAACGTTGAATGAAAAGTTCTTTGATCTTTTAATATCCTTTTATAATCCATTTCCTACTTTCACGACCAATTGTGAATAAAACCCACCAGAGGGTAGTACACTCATAAATCCAGAGCTCAAATTGGATGAATCTGAAATTTTTGCAGGAAATTCATGTGGGTTTCGGGTAAAACCTAATATTCTATTCTATGTTCAGTAAAGACTCCAAGAAGGTTTCATTGGAGCCGTCTCACATCAAAGCATCTTAGCATCTAATTTATGGTTATGATTTGGGACTCTTGAAATCTAGAAGTCCCTTTTGAAAATCATGGTTTGAAAGTTTTGGGAAAGTTCTTCTCTTTGTAAAGAAAAGATTTTTTTAGAAGACTTTGTTCTTGGAGATGGTATACATATGAAAAAGGGTATCACATGGTTCAAATTATTTTTAATTTTGTTCATAAATCGGCAGCTCATTTTTTCATTTTAAAAATTAAAAATTAATTTCATATACTTTAAGAAGATTTTAGTACATTTTTTTCCAAGTTTTTGTATAAATAAACTCTTGAAGTAGACCTAATAAATCAAATTCTAAGGTACAATAGGTACCATCCATGTCATGTAGAAAAAAAACAGGTTATATTTTTTTTCCTCTTTTTTCTTTTGTAGATTTCTGGTTGATTTTCTCAAATATATAGTTAACCCATTAAAATTCTTTAATTTTAACCAATTACAAGTTTCAAAAATTGCAACTTCTTACCATCTCTTTTAAGCATAAAAAACTAATTTAGTTATAAATTTTACTTTAAACACATATATTAATAAGAACATAAAATAAATAAATAAATAAATTATGAGGTTCTGATACAGACTTTAAAAAGTCTAGCAACAAGCCCAACATTAGTTATCTCTTAATTCTGATACATAATTGTTCCTTGAGAATTATGAAGTCATTTGCAAAATTATAAGGAAGATTTTATAAACTAATAAATAAAACTCTTGTATATACATCTAATAGAATGTAGTGAGTCAAAGTAAATCTAATACATAATTAATTTTATCTTAATTTTTAGTCTACTAAAAAAAATTACAATGATGTAAATTCGTCATATGTTTGTACTTAGACAATCTATTCTTCTAATGTTGCTGAGATTTAAACAAAACATATGCAACTAATCAAAAGAAATATAAGATGGTTATTTAATGTATATTGGGTCATAAAGCCTACACATTGTGGCCCTATGTATGAGTTGATATATGAACAATGAAGATGTCATGCTTTTTTAACTAGATTGACATAGAAGTCTTCTATTAAATGTGCAAAGGGCTCAAATCTACATAAATATCTCTCTTTCATATTAATATGTTTTTTAGATTCCCCAAACTATATAATCATTTCAAAACAACTATGACACTGTGGTTTTATAAAATTCTGCATAAATTTTATATCAAAATTTTATAGCTAAAATATATGGAAAAAAATTATAAATTATTTTATACAACCAATTATTTAGCTACAATAATTGGTTGTAATTTATTATTATTGTATAAGCAATTATTTGTAGCTAAATTATTATTTATTAATTATTAATAGTTAAAACATATGGAAATAAATTTCACTTAATGTGGTTATAATTCATGCACCTCTACACCTATAATTTTAATATAGTATAATTTTTTATACACTCAAGCGCACTAATGTCTATCTGTATGTAAGGATGTTAAGGCACTTTGTAGCTCATTTGTTTTAATATTTATTTTTATTATTCTAACACAATGGACTTATTCAACACATGACAAAAAAATAATCAAAATCAAAATCAATAATTAGACCAGTCAAAGACGCGTGGTGTATTTTACACACAAAACTGTTTGAGTTCAATTAAGTTATAATTTTAAAATATTTTTTAATACAATTTCATTGGAAGAAAATATTTGAATGCATAAAAAAAATTAAATGCAAAAACCCTTCAACATCTTTAAATAAATCATATCATACTCAGTTGATAGCAATATATGGCCTGATTTTATTTTCTAAATTTTGGTAAGATTTAATAAGATATAAATACAAATAAAATTAAATTTAAAATAACGAATATTCTTAGTCTACAAATGACATGCACTCTAAAAGATTTTAATACACCAAAATATATAAAGACTCTTAATGACACACAATAAAACGTTGGAAGACCAAAGCATCCAACAATTGTATTTTTTAATGCAAATTTATCAATTACCAAGGCTCATAATAAAATATGAAACTTTATTTTTATTTATTTATATTTTTGCTTAATAGATCCGTTTTATTTTTATCTATTAATATTTTTTTAACAAACCTATATAGCTTTATGGAAACAATGCCAAAAATATAAGAAATCTTTTAGAAAAATTAAGTTTTCTTCCTGTATACAATAAATATAGTAGAGTGGTCTACTAAGTCTCCATTTCCAACTCAATAAGAAAACATTGCAGAACAAAAACTAGACTACAAGTATAATTTTAAATTTTTATTATTAATAAAAACATTGTAATTAATGTGTAGAGACATTTTTTTGTTTTTATTTTTATTTTTATTCTAAGACATGTACATAGTAAATTTGTTGCCTTGGATGAGAAATAGTTAGAACATGAATTGCCAAAAAAAACTTCACAAATTTATTGATAAAATTGCAACTTACATGCTCATAGAATTTAAGAAAATATATTACGCAGGCTACAAGAAGATCTAGTGGCCCAAGAGGTCTTAAAATAATAAAAAAATTTAGAGTATAAATAGATTGTTGAGTTCTAAAAAGAGCTTTTGCTTCAAGTGCAACAACTTGATGAAGTCTAAAAAAAACTTCTCCATCAAGTACAAAAGTATTTTTGAAGTCTCATTAAAAATAAAAAAAAAGGTTAGGAACTTTTGGTAAAGGAAATTCGTATTGATGGAACTTTGCCCCCATTTCACAAAACAGTCCCTTCACGTAAAGGTTAAGTTAACAAATAATAAATGAATATATTTCAGCCAAGGGCAATTGTTCATTCACAGAAGAGTTCTACGTCTCGTATTTGTCATTCATCTTGGCTGCGATGATGATGATGGTGATGTCCATCTTGCGGTGGGAAGGTCATTCTGGTATTCGACGGCCAGGATCTGATGTTCCCTTAGGGCGGATCTAGGCCTTTGGAGGGAGAATTAGGGTTTGAAGATCACAAAGCCTGGAGTCCATGCCGATGAGAGTCTCTTTGGTTGTTTAGGTTTGCTTGCCGCTCTCTCTCTGCAGGGGAGTGCGCGCGAAGGAACGGCATCATGACGACCCGCCTGAAGAAGAACAGGAAGAAGAGAGGACACGTGAGTGCCGGTCATGGGCGTGTAGGCAAGCACCGCAAGCATCCAGGAGGTCGGGGTAATGCCGGAGGTATGCATCACCATCGGATCCTGTTCGACAAGTACCACCCTGGGTACTTCGGCAAGGTCGGTATGAGGTACTTTCACAAGACGATGAACAAGTTCCACTGTCCCATTGTGAACATTGATAAGTTGTGGTCGTTGGTGCCTGAGGCCGTGAAGGAGAAGGCCGACGGGGAGAAGAGCGCGCCTCTCTTGGACGTCACCCAGCACGGGTTCTTTAAGGTGCTTGGCAAGGGCGATTTGCCGTCCCAGCCGATGGTTGTGAAGGCTAAGTTTTTCTCTAAGCTCGCGGAGAAGAAAATTAAGGAGGCTGGTGGTGCGGTTATCCTCACTGCCTAAGCCCCTTGAGAAGAGTTCTGTTCAGGAAATGTGAAGGGGATCCATGCATTTGTTCGGTGTCTAGATGCATCTACCGAAATGAAAATTCCGTTTTTTCGAGACGATTACATTCCTGTTTTATGCTCTCGAGGATTTCATTGAAAGAGTGGAAATGCTTCTCTTATCCATGCTGGTGTCAAATGCTAGCTGTGTCTTCAATTTTATTGTCGTTGTACTTCCAGCGCTTGTGATTGAACAGTTGCCTGTGGTGTATATTTGTGAATGTATACTAGCCGCTGCTTAGGCATTGCGGCTTCCACATGTAATTCTTAGATTAGGTTATTACAGTCAGATCGGGTGATGTAGGGTTTCTAGCTCACAGCGTTCGCCTTCTTTCACCAGATCCTTCCAATTTGAATGTTCCTATGCATTGTTGTTGTACTCTCGCTCCCTCTTCTCTTTTCGTCAATAGCCCAGCCGGGCAGGATGCTCAACCACTGCATTCAGGATCAGTTGGGGATGCGTGAGGCTCTTCAAGTTGTAATCTGCAGTGTTGTAAATGTAGTGTTTGGCATGTTTATTTCTACATGTGTAGTAACTTTTCTGAATTGGACCGACAGAGTTATGTCGTCCACTTGATTACTTCTGTTCTAAAAGTTGCACGAGATCTTTATTACCTGTCTTCATCCTGATCAAGAATGCTGCAGTACAAAAGGATCGTCTGAGGTGTGGACAAGAGAAGCGGGTTTGGGATGAACATCTCTCTTCAAAGTTCAATATTTCCTCTAGATTTGGCATCTCAAACCTCGCATGTGATATGCATTGGGCGAATGGTTAGTGCATAAATATTACTCTGGTCTTTTGAGGACTATTTTCAATTAACTTATTGTCTTTGTCTGTTGCAATAGTTGATCCCTAAGTTCAACTGTACTCATTAGTTTGTAGTGTTGACTATGTTAGGATCCCTGACAAAGTACATATTCAAAATACGTGTACAAAGTGCACTAAAGAATTCAAGCACTATTTGAGCACAGCGTGGAACCTAAATTCAATTGATAATCAAACGGTTTGCTATCTACAAATCTTGAGGTTTGATGTTGTGTAAATTGAAGGAATTATGAAAGAAGGAAGACAATGTTGTGGCGGTAACTCCTTTGCAGATATTGCATGTATTATGGCCCACGCTCCCCGGTATCGTTGTAGACAGATGATTGTGGGTACTGTGAGGCTCACTGAAGGCAACAAATATCACAATCCTTCCAGGATCCAAATGCCAATCCATTATATAGTAACCTTCACTTAAGTGAAAGTATACTGCCAGTTCCCTTTTCCTGAGACCTAGATTGGTATCTGTGCAGCAACTTTGTTTCAAAAGATAGAACCTCACAAAGCCGATAAACGTAGAAATAAAAACTCAGGTCAAAATATTTTTGCGGTCCACAAATAGTTTCCTTTCTTTGCTTTCAGTGTGTCGAGAGTTGTAATTACTACTGTAATTCCATTTTGTGGCCTACAGCCACCACTGTCGATTTTAAAAGTATCAATGAATAAACCATGATGTTGACAGAATGTACCACGTCGGCTGTAAATGCTAACTCTCACAAGTACTCCCTGAAATTGTGAATCTTGAAAATGACCTAAAATCCTAAACCCAGTTTCGAAAAGGACGACCTCACGTGCAGATAGTCCCTAGAGTGGCTGCTGCACAGTTTTTGGACAATTGATATCTTTGCCGTGTGAAAAGAAAAGCCTTCATCCTGTTGAACGTCTGCCATTCTAGCTCAAGTTTGAACTCTTTGTTGATTAAAAAAATTGGGTATGCATATTTCCAGAACCCTTATTAAATCCATCTTCATGACGGCTGCAGGTGATCAGATGACAAAGAATATGTACCACTCGAAGGAACCATGTAACATTTTCGAGGATTGGGAAGTGCAGAACGAAAAGCGAGACTCCGCAGCATCATTGTCAAGAGGTAAAGTGCGCGTTCAATTGTCACTGTTGGCAATCTTGTCACCAAGGTCGGGCAACAGCACAAGCAAGTTCACCATTATATTACTCCTTGTCGCAACTTCTGCCTGTATTTTAGACGCTGATCATCCCATAGAAACCTGTAAATGGTTCAATTTGGCTCATTGTTTGTTCTTTTCCTCAGGGCTGCACAAACCGTAACCAGCTACCTGCACCGTAAGCTTTCATTTTCACTTGAAACGAATTCCAATCTCTCAATTGGCAGATTGTTCGGCTTCAGTCGACACCATTTAACTCCGCTGACTCTGCTGAGACATTCGTAAATCAAATGATTCCCAAGCAAAACACATGTTCTGGATGTTACTTCAATCTCTCCATCTCTAATAAAAAGTCCGTCAACTTACCAACAAAAATTGCTGCTCATATTCCAGTTTTCCGGTACTCCTTATCAACGCCCGCCACGTCTCTAATGACACTTCCGATCCAAGCCCCAAGATCATGTTACCTGCAAAATGTCTGCCCAAGTCGTGCATGGCCAAAGAGTTACACTCTTTTCCACATGCACGGAGCCCATGACTTTAAAAAAGTACTACTCTCTCCCTGCTCTCTTTCTCTCGGAGCATACAATTTGAAGTAGATCAGCAGCGTCAACTCGCGGTCACAATTCCTCAATCTTCGACTCAAAACTCAAAACGCTGAAGATGTAGGGGCCCACAGGACTCCATCCATGCATCCATCACAAGTTTATCAATTCTCATACAAATATCATCTGTGGACATTCCAGTGGGTTTGGCATCGGGACCGTGCTGAAGGTCGTAGGGTTGTCTCTCTTGCTCTCTCTCTCACTCACCCCATTCTCCCTTTCGTCCAGTCGTCAGGGTTGGTGTTCTCAATACATGCACTCACTGGCCAAATGGAGCACCGCGGTCAAATCCAGGTAGGTCGGAACAGCTCAAGCGCTTGATTGTAGGAAATTCAACATTCCAGTGATCCGTTGTTGGAATCAGCTCTGCTATGTCGCTGTGGAGATGGATGTTTCCAGAGGGGAAGAAGTCCGAGGAATGCCCTTTCTGTGTTTTAGCGTCTGGATCGGTGGAAGGCCGCACGCCCAACGTGTTATACCAGGTTAGCAGTTCTAAACCCTAGATTCCCTCTTTTCCACCTCCAGCTATCCGTATTAATTCTTGTTGATATTTGCACGAGATTTGTGTAACGAAGGAGAAGAGGTTATTCTGGATGCTGTGTGGACTGAGAATAATCACTCAAGGGAAGTCGCCGTTGTACTTATGACCGTCCCATGACACCCTCATGCTTCTAAACGTTGTGATTTCCGGTTAGTGCTCAAACGATGCTCAAGCAGTGAGCATATTTTTACAAGTCGGCAAGGATTGCACTTTTGCAATAATTTGTAGACCAAAATTGGACCCAGGTGGAAGCTCACGATATCCTAGACAGCCTCAGACTTATTTCTTTCTACAATCCATCCTCTTATCATTTGCGATATTTACCACGGGTTGTACTCTCTGCCAGGGGTGTATACACAGCTATTTCATATCATTTATTTATTTAATTTGTAGATGTTGTAGGGTTCGTAGATCAGCAATGTCAATATGCTTCTGAAGAAGAAACTGCTGGTGCAACTGACAGTCATGCCGCAGTGTTGCCGAGTCTTCCATGTGGAGCTTATACATCTCAGTGATGTTCAGCTGTAAAATACATCTGTTTATAGTCTCGACAAGTGATAATGATGCATGCATATTTGTTACCTTCTGAAGTTAATGAATAGTCGAATTCACAGCTGCTATGTGCGTTGCAGCGTGTCGATGAGAATTCGCGCACGAAGATTTGTACCACCAGAGTGCTCGGATGCCGCTTGTAGCATCCTCTATTAGCAGACCATCCGAATGTCATTCACATTGTTGTTTTCCTTTTTACAATGGTGGATGCCATTATCTGCAGGATAAGCATGTAGTTGTCTTCGTGGATCGGAACCCGTCTGCCTATAGGTGCGTGACTGCATCGGTAAGACCCTTGTTTTTTTTAAGTTCTGTTTGTGACAACGCTTTTTCGGTGATGTGATAAATGGATTCAAGGTTCTTTCTGATCATTATACAGTTTTCGGACCTATGAATTCTTCCTCTTTGCATCTACCTATTTTGAAATACTCGAGGAGTCTTAAGAGTTTGTTGCAGTTTGTCTGAAGCCTATTCTACTGGTCGGTGCCGCAGGCATTACTTGGTGATACCAAATAAGCACATCAAGTCTGTCCAAGATCTTCGACCTGTTGAAGCAGATCATGCGTTGGGTGAGTATATTGACCTCAAAGTCAGAAGAAATCCTTAACCTACTTCTTTTTACTTGAACCGTGGTGGCGGAGAATGTTTACTTTGGAAGATCCTATGCGAAGTATATCACATATCTGAGCTATTTGGTTCTCTGCAGTCTCCCGTATGTTCAAGCTAGGGAAGTCAACATTACAACGTGATGCGCCGAACGCATCCAAATACAGGTTCCAACCGTCTCATCTTGATTATAATTCCTAGGATTGATTATTAAACGCTACTCTAGAACAAGTTCTTATTCCAAATTATCACTTTATTTGCAGGTTTGGCTTCCACAAGTCTCCATTCAATAGTGTCGACCACCTCCACCTTCATTGCATCGCCCTTCCTTACAATTCTGTGTAAGAACCTCGTCTCCATTAACTGATGCTTGCGTTAGCACGGTTTTACTTGATTGCATTAGCTTGTAGGGAAATCGATTGTATTTTTCTATGCACTGATTGAGCACTGGTGGATGTTCCCAGATGGAGGCGCTTCAGGTATCTTGGTGTAGGTTGGTTGGGTGCATATGTTAGTGTCGAGCATGTACTGCTTTACTTGGATCCTAAGAAAGGCATGAAAACAGGGGTTACATCGGGTGACCAACCGAAAGTGCCCATATGATCCGACACCCTTTTGTGAATTTCTCTGGAATTTTATCTCGGGCTACCCATTCTTGGATGTCTGCTCTAATTCATCACGAATGATACCAGAAGCATGTGTGTTTGAGGAAGCAAAAACAACACAGGGAGTTCGCCAACAACTTTTCCGAATTGGCTAAGCCAGCTATTCAACATGGTAGCATTGAAGTGATGCGGTTCGTGCTTCACTCTAATTCCTCTAGAATCAACACAGTTTTACAGCCTGAAGTGCGTAGTTTCATTTACAGTGACCAAAGGAAACCTTCTGAAGTGTTTGTTGACAATGCTTCTTTTCATCAAATCCGTGGAACGATAACAGAGAAACAACCAGTCAGGATTCCACACTCCAACTGTGGATCCAGTTCTGTAAGTCCTACATGTCTCCTAGACCTCAAAAGACGATAATGAGGGATTCACACAGACCGGCGACCGTATTCCATAACATAAGCTCCTCCACCTGGAATGGATTTCACAACTCCACTCTTCAACAACCAAACCAGACTCAAAACATGCGCTCTAATAGGGTCCCAATCCTTTGACAAAGACTGGAATTCCTTCTGACTCCAGCCCCTGCCCTGGAAAAATGGTGAAAAAGGCTAGAACTACGCCTCAACAAGTGGATTGTGCTTGTGCTTGTGGGTCCATTGCCGTTTCCGATGCATTGGATAAGCGGTGACCCGGTGTCATGCTGGATGAGCTCGAGAGTGATTCCTTGAGTGCGTGTGGCCCCATGAGCTTTGGTTAGGTGAGAGATGCAAGTCATGTATTGACTGAAAGCACAAAGCCTCTGGGTCTTTTAACTCCTTTCTTTTTAATCAAAGTTTTCCTGCTAATTCACATAAACAGTGTGATCCACGGGACCCCTGTAGTTTGAGTGCTAAAGGTGGGTCCATTTTCTCTCATATTGGTTTGTGGGAAAAGGCTTTCTGAGATTGATAGGGATAAGATGTGAGGGATGATTGATTGATATGTATGTATATGTGTTTGCGTATATATATATATATATATATATATATATATTTTGTTTAAAAGCATCTTGGGTCTCACAAGCAACTCTTGGATGTCCATCCCAAGAACACTTTGCAAGAGTGTTGACATAAACATGACTATTTTGAAATATTACTCATCACCTCATCTGAGAGATTCAATGTCCTTTTTTAGTTAGCTTTCAAGAGCAAATTTTGATTATGTCTATAGTATAAATAACCACTTTTGGAAACCTACATTGAACATTAGACAGTTTACACAACTTTCAATTAATCTTTTAATTTTTGAAAGTTTCAATTAATTAAACTTTCAAAAATCACCCGTGAATTCTGATTAATACTATTGTGTTTCACAGATATTTCTTGTGTGAAAAAAAGTAATATTCTTGTTGATTAAATTAAAGAATTTTTTGGTCAAAGTGAGTTTTAGTATTATAATTATCATTTTCCAACCCTTTGTTGTTTATTCCTCATGTGCAATTCTTCCATTCTTATATTTATTTCTAGATTTATACTTACTCTAATTCTCTCATGCATACATACAAGAAAGTTTTGTTTAAATGAGAACATCCTTTTGGTTCCCTTCAATAATTGACCATTGAAGGGAGTTATAATGTATATATGGGCTTTGATAAGGATCTATTCTAAAATCCCAAATTGGGCGTCAAAAATATAATAATCTTACACAACTGTCAATATCATGTAAAGACAGTTACAATTGTAGGTGTAAGTTATCTATAAAGTAATTTTTTTTTGCATTACACATGTCAACATACTCTTGTACAGGATGTTAACACAACATATCATAAAACATTGCATTTCATTTAAATTTCATCTGTCCAAAAGACTAAATGTAATCACAACCTTTAAAAACTTTCTTAAGGGAATAACATAGCTAATATAACATCTAAAGAGTAACACATCCTAACACCACTATGTATATATATATATATATATATAAGCAATTTATTAACTATTCAAAAGAATTTACAAGAACGATTTTAAAGTTGTTTGATGAAAGTTGTACAATGTAGTTTTAAGAACATTACTCAATAGAAATACCCTTCAAGATATACTTTTAAAAACACCATGTCAAGCTCTACCATATATGCCTTACCAAACTGTAGTTTCATCATTTCCCATAGAAATAACCCTCTTCCATCACACACTTCATCATTATAGGAATAAATTTCTTAATTCTTTCCCAGTTCAAACTTCTTTCTCATGCCCAGTCACATATTTCATAACTCTCTCATTCTCTCTCTCTCTCTCTCCATACCTACTTAGCTATCTAGCCATCTATTTATCTATCCATGTGTAAAAAAATTTACCACCAATCCAATTCCAAGGCCCAAACCGCAGTCCAAAGCATTGTACTCTTTCGACCTTTTGCAGGACAGCGTCTGTTTTGACTTATAACTTCAAATCCTCAAAGTGTATGCATGGGAGTGCGTGTGTGTGGGGGGGGGGGGGAGGGGGTACGTGTGTGGTTTATTTCGTTTTTTTATTGTGTTTTTATTACTTCGATAAATCGATTTATACTCCCTTTCAACGACGCTGGTGTGGTGACGGAAGGAGTTCACAGGCAATATCGAACCAGCAGTGGTACCACGGAAAGGGATGGATCACAGGGCTGCCCTTCTTCGCAGACCCTGGCTACGCTCACGTCATCAGCAATTTTCACGGCGTCGTGGGCAGATTGTGCAGCACGACTTCGCAGCACTCAGTCAGAGCAACTACGATCCCCCGACCCAACCCAACCCACATTCCTACTCCCACTCCGAAGCGTACCACTCGAGGCCGATCGTTGAGCAGGCCAGCCCAGCTCTGACTTCACCACCATCCCCGTTTCCACGGCCTCATCAGTCATCTGGTCCGCTGCCGTCTCCTGGGCTGAAGTCCTTGTACCCGTGCAGACTTGGGGCTCTGAAAACGGGTGAGAGAATCGTGCGCTGTCTGCACTGGGTTGCTCCTGCTGCTGGTGTCCCCATAGCCCATCTCCCTCGAGGGATGGGCACAAACCTCTTGGGATGTTACAGCTCCATGCTTCGGTGTTTTCTGTCCTTGGAAATGTCGCCTCCGAAAGGGGACCCAAGTGGTGTGTATTTCTAGTAGAATATCGGGTGCGGGTTTCTTCCATGTTGTTGCCTGTTAGGCTTGCACATGAGGGCGATGGATGTTTGGGGGTCTGGAAACACAGAAGATTTCACCCATGAAATCGGCACAGAAAAGAGCTAAAGACTATTCTTGACCATTGTGTCCATCCATTTCGACATGAAGTTGGAAACTTGAAGTTTTAGTGGCTTCCGGGTCGTGCAATTCATGTTTTATAGTCACTTGAGATGAAGAATCAAGATGTTACCATGTGTTCTCTATCATAGCATACTTTCCAACATTGCAAACAATCTGTTGGTAATGCTAGGGGCTAGAGAAGACAATGTGTTAAAAAACGAGTTTCTCTAGCTATAATAAGAATCATGTGGTTGGAATTATGTGCAATACTTAGTAAAGGTTCTGTTCTCTCCTTAGATCTATCACCTTATTTTATCACCTTATTTTACAATAGATATATGTTTAGGACCTGAAAATCACAAAGTTTTTATTTTATTAGATTTAAGTGCCTCAGCTTGTTTTATAGACAAAGACTTTATTAAAAAATAAGAAATATTTTTTATCAAAAAAACTAAATTCATACATCTAAAAGTCATAGATAGTCATTTGACATTTTTTGGAGATGCTACCCAAGAGATTCTTCTTTTAGATGTAGCAATTAAAAATCATAATATCATAGTAATATTTAATATAATAAGATCTCTTTTTAATCCAATTATTTTAAAATTATTGTGGTTAAAAAAATACAACCCTAAGATAGATTAGATTTTTCATAATTTTAACTTTTTTTTGTAGTTTAATCCAAAATTCTTATAGTCAAGTAGAAATACATAAGTTTAATACATCCAAATTCTTACTGGTAAATGTAAGAGCTTTCATGCATGCAATAAAAGAAGGATCATCTTTTAATATATATGCTACATCCATTTCTGATGGTGGAAAGATATCAAGTAATATTCCTAGCTAGTATGAAGATTTCTATGATATTTTTGAAAAGAACATAGATATTCTTCCAAAGCATCAATCCTATGATTGTTCAATTGATCTTTAAGAAGAAACTCAACTTTCATTTGGGTCAATCTATAGCTTATTGCAAAACAAGTTGGTTGCACTAAAAGAGTATATTAATGAGAACTTAGCCAAGAACTATATATGCCATTCAAAAATTCCAATAAGAATTCTTATTGTATTTGTGAAGAAAAATGATGAATCTATGTAGATAAGCATAGACTATTAAAGGCTTAATAAGATCAGTATTAAAAATGTCAAGATGAAAAAGTATATATTCCATACTATTCAAGTTGACTTTCTAAGATACATCATTTCTAATGAAGGTCTCATGATAGATCCTAAGAATGTATCACAGATATACATAGGTAATCTAACAAATACCTATATGATTAGGTAGAAGTAGGTAAATATAGATAAAAGTAAGTTAATTTTATAAAACCTTTTAGAAAAGCTTTTTAAAAGCTTCATAGATACTACTTGACTTTACATATGTTTGTAGTTGATTGGTAGGTTAGAAACTTGGTCAGCAAGTTAATCATGTATTAATAGCTTGCAAAATAAGATAACTATGTGGCACACATATAGAAAACTTCCATTGAAAATTAAGATACATGTTTTACAAAATCAACATGTTTTGAGGGTCCTATAGGACATCGTCATATAGCTCCTAGTTAAGAATATATAAGCAAGCAAGAATGAAGCCTTCTTCACTCTTGTCTATGCCTTTCTAGTCCTTAATCTTATTTTAAGTCTTTTTAGTCTTTTTATTTTTGACAATAGCTATTCTAGTTTAATATTATATCATATTTGAGTGATTTTTTAGTTCTTTTCAGTGATACAAGAGTGTATTAAGGATTTTCTTTCTTTGAGATTCATGTCCTTGACAATTTGACAAGAGTGTTAACTTATTGTTTCTATCTTGTTTTAGAAGTGAGTGGATTATCCTACTTCTATTATTATTTTTTGAAGGTTGCGGACTATCTATCTTTAAATAATTTTTTTTATTTTCTAACATTGATCTTTTCCTTGAAGAGAGTAGATTAGCTCTCTTTGTAAAAAAATTTATTTGGTATTAGAGGTTGTAGATTATCTTCTTCTAATTTATCTTTTTTGAATTTGTTTGAATTGTCTACGGAAAGAAAGATTATGGATGCTTCTCTAAGCAAAAGTGAGAATAGATTTGCAGCTATTGTAGATCTTCATGAGCTTATCAATACTCTAAGGATAGAAATCTCATGTATTTTCAATGTGAATCATGGAGATACTATACCTATGCATATGGAAGAAGTTTAGAGTCTATGGCAAGAAGTTGTGTAGTTGAAGGAAGCAAGTAGATCAACCTTGCAACCAAATCCAAGGAGTTTTGCTTCTATAAGTATGATAGGGACAAGAATTAGTACGCCTGAGTAGTTTGATGAAACAAGATCAAAATTTTGAGGATTTTTGCAATAACTTAAGTTCTATCTAAGGTTGCATCCCTTCCAATACCTCAATGGATTTACTCAAGTCGGATTCATAGATGCACTTCTATCAAGAAGTGCTTTCTTTTAATTTGTACCTTTAATGGAAAAAAAAATTATAATTCTTTTATAATTTGAATTCATTCTTTAAAGTATTTATGGCTTTATACAAAGAAAGTGATTAAAAAAGAATAAAAAAGACCAAGCTCTTATTTTTATGATAAAAATCACAATCAGCGACCATATATATTGCTGAATTTCAAAACCTTACTTG